GTCATGTGTGGCAGAGGTGATAGCCTGCCTGAGCTAAGAACACTGGGATGGTGAGTGTGCTCTTATGTAACTGACAGAGTGTGATATGGTGATAATGATTCATATTTTAACTCAATGTCTACTACTACTGTAGTACTACTACTGTCTACTACTGCCATTTTTTCTCTTAGTTATTTTGATTATCCATATGAGGCTTTCAGGAGGAGATGTGTTAAAGATATTGAAAGGGTGGTCTGTTTAGATTTTTAAAATCAAATAGTAGACAGCATCAGCACAGTATTGAAAGGTGTCAAAATGGAGTCAATTCAACCTCGCTGATATTGGCAATATTGGAAAAAGTTTTAAGATTTAAATGCATTCGTCTCCCATTTAAAAAAAATGGTTCCATATCTAAACTTGTTCATTATCATAATCTAAATAAAAATTTGAAAAAACAACCAAGCTCGAATTAAACAAACATATTTTAAGGTGTATGTATACAACTCATAGCAAACACAACTTGGTGCACTTTAATAGGAAATAGACTACCAAAAAAAATCTGACATCCTAAACAGCGCCCTCTTGTGATCACTGCATCAACTATCATTTCCTGTATAATTGCTGGAGAACAGATTTTGAAATATATGGCATTATCATTCTATTACATAAATGAAAAAGAGAAAAAAAAATAACAAGTGAGGGAACAAATTAATTTCGTTTCATACCAAATAGACTACCAAAAAATAATGTACGTGTATCTAAAAAAAATCTGACATCCTAAACAGCGCCCTCTTGTGATCACTGCATCAACTATCATTTCCTGTATGATAATGGCTGGAGAACAGATTTTGAAATACATGGCATTATCATTCTATTACATAAATGAAAAAGAGAAAAAAATATAACAAGTGAGGGAACAAATTAATTTCGTTTCATACCAATGATGTATTGCTTATGAAAACAATGACTTTGTGATTCTCCCATAGCATTAACCTTTTCACTACCAGACTTTCTTGCCTAATTTTTTTTTTGCACTGTTTTCTTATTATTCGTCAGTATTTCAGGAAGTAAACCCTAATTTTGGAGCCAAAAGACAAAATTTGAGTAAATTTTCAATTTATACTAAAAAAATTTGGCTATTTTTGTCCCAATCTTCTGAAGGGAAGTGCAGACTATAAACAGGACTATTTTGTGAATTTGTGATGAATAGAGGGAACTGGTGGTGAAAAGGTTAAAGGGGAGCAGAGGTGTGGCTTTTGACACTCTGTACATGAAATTTGAGATCTATGAATGAATTCTGTCGATAAAAACAACTTGTATGTGCTGCGAAATGCCCTAAATATCGGGTATAAAACGGGCTGTGAAGCAGACGACAAACTTCCGACAAACTAGCTATAGTAAATGGTGAGTAAATAAATATTGTTTGAGTTAAAAAATAAATTAGAAATACGCTAATATCATTACAGTAATCATTTGGCCCAACTTCCCACTTTTAATCGACTGCTTATCGCTTAATTTCCGACCGCACTGTATTTTCCGACCGGAAAACGACCGCATTTTTATCGTAATTTTTCTCTCACCGACCCATTGAAAACACCGACCTGTCACCCAAACACTGGTCATTGGCAG